TGCTCTTTTTCAGCACTAACCATAAGAAAGTCTTGATTCTGGGGGGATCTTGACTTTCCATAAGAACCTATAAGGCACTTTGCATCCAACCTGCATAACCCGGTAAAAAGACTTAATAATGTAGACTCCAGTTTTATCTAGAATCCAAGACAACTTGTCTTAAGATTCATTCAAGTAAACATGGGCACATGTTTCTAGTGACTTAGACCAAAGCATCCCCTTCTCCCCAACCAATGCTCTCCTAAAGGAGAGATTAGAGAGTCCTTCAGTAAAAGTAACATGAACAGTGATATTCTGATTCAATGAGATATCATAAAGTCTTGGGAAAGCTTGGGCTAGACATTCATGGAATCTCTGAATCATGTTGGCATGATGCTCTGGTTCCGCATGTTCCATAATGTGGAGGTACATAAAGTCCTCTAGCTGACCTCTCTCATCCTTGATGGTCATATTGTGCAAGATAATACTCCCTTCGATCCAAAAAAATGTTGTGACTTTAGTTCAAAGCCATGACACTTTTTTTGGATTGGAGGGAGTACATGTTATCATTACCTGCCACTACAAGGACGTTCAATTTTCTTCACAAATGTTTCACATGGAGGATAGATGCAATCGACAAGTAGTAAATTATGGTGTACTTGTATCCATTGACAGTGTATTTGTAAGGTGGGGCTTGGTCGGCTACAAGCCTAACAAATAGAGGAGATGTATGCCGAACATTGAGGTCCAAATCCATAGGTCCTAGGATGCAGCTGCTTCAAGAATTAGGATTGAATCATGGCAATGCCCTCTGTACTGCCCATGCCATGTGACATGATAACTCTTCAATATGCAACATCAATGGATCCAATTACCCTTGGCTAGCCTCTCAGTTCACCTATAGCATGAGCCTCACAGTGTCATCATGGTTAGGTGCCCACAAGTACTATTCTCCGAAGATCTCGATCTCAGCTTGTGTGAATTTGTTCACACACTCGAGGATGGTATCTTCCCCAATGCAAATGTACTCATCACTAGTCTGCCACACTAAGGTGACATATTTGAAGTGTCATTCCAACATTTAGTGACCCCCTAGTCCCTTGGACCATTCTTGAGCCAACATATTGAGAAAACCTTCCCTCTCGGACTACGATGTTCCGAAAGGAAAGGCTGCCTTTCCTGAGATGAGCAACCTCACTAGAGTCCAAGAAGAGTGGAGTATGATCGGAATTACTCCTCTTAAGTGCTATCACCATCGCCAGAGGAAATATTTGCTCCCACCAAACACTCATCAAAACATGATCCAGTTTTTCCATATGTTAGTGTTCTAAATTATTAGCCCAAGTAACAATCGTCCTAAAAGAGCTATCTCTCTCAGGCCTAAGTATCAATAACATCATTGAATATAAAGGGCCATCTAGCATCAGAATTACTTATTTTTTAGCATCAAATTGAGTGCATAAATGGAAAAAGAATTTGAGAAAAAGGACAATTATGAACTGGGGGGGGGGGGTGGCCAAACACATCGTGGGTGGAGAGAGGTGACTGACATAGCAGTCAACGTTGGTGCACTGGCAAGGATCCGAATACGAAAACGACATGGAGGGAGGAACCAATTTTTGGCGTCAACCGTCGACCTAGTTGGCCTTGGTCGAG